AAGTAACTGAACCAGTATGTGTAGACTTTGACGAAAAAAAAAGTGACAATTATTTAAAGCTTTGAATACAACTGTGATAACCAACAGTGTAACGAGCATTTGTAAATACGTTTGACTTGTTTTAATATATTATTATATAAAGAGTGGATTGTGTGCTATTTGTTTATCGTTGAAATTTATCGCCAACAAGTCACAGACACCTACTGTAAAGAATTCGGCCCATCCATACATATAAAAACTTGACAATAGATTATTCGCACGTCTCTTCAGTGAAAACAACGAAATAATAATTTTTAAAAAATCACTTTATTTCTTGTTACGCACGGAGTTATATGATGGGAAAACTGTGATGCACCCCAGATATCGAAACCCGATTTTTAGCATAATAGGCATTCTGACTTACCCCTGAGTCACCGAGAGGGGGTGGGGTAAATACCTAGGATTGTTAGTTAGTTTTTTGGAATTTCGCGCAAAGCTACACGAGGGCTATCTGCGCTAGCCGTCCCTAATTTAGCAGTGTAAGACTAGAGGGAAGGTAGCTAGTCATCAGCTACTATTTTACCAACGAACTGGCTGTAAAATTACGGCTGAAAGGGCGGGCATATTCAGTGATCAGATTCGAACCCGCGACCCGCAGATTGCGAATCGAATGCCTTAATCACCTAGGATTGAATAATATTAATGTTAAATGTGCTCTATTATTAGCAGACAACAGAAGTTGCATTGACATAGGCTCAGCAGGAAGTTACGTCGTCGTCTTTTTTTTTTTTCTAGTTTACTTCCTTCCTCCATTATTGTTGTAATTTACTCGCCTCTTTGTGTTAAACCTTGTTCTCCTGTCTGTTAAGAAGCGTCAGTGTTAATAAAGAACCTGATTCAACTTGTCTGTGTTAAGCCGACCAGAGACTCATGCTTGCAAATACATCGTTGTCGTATTTTTTAAATTTTCAAATTAACAAATGATATATGGGTAGTAAAATTTTAAAAAAAGAAAGAGAGAAAGAACCAATTTGGGTAGGGTAATTCACAACTCGACGGTATACGAGTTTTGAATATCTGTGTAGACCTATAAGATGTTTTATATTGCCCTGAAATGGGTCGGAGCAAGTGCGGTTTACTCCGACCCTCGTGTAGTACTAACCATCAACATTCAAGGACAACCTATCATGGTACGGAAGAGGTCTCAGAGTACCTGACCCTCCTAGGTCACAAAGACCTAAATTCCGATCAGGAGAGAGGATGTTTTATAATTAATTTAGTTTATGTTCATTTTAGTTTATACGTAATGT